ACCGACATACTAATGTTTTCCATATGAAGTCAATCATTTTCTGTTCTGTGATCGTGGCTAACGGTTCTGCCTCAGCCCATTTTGTAAAGTAGTCGACTGCGACGACCGCATACTTAACTCCTCCATTCCCAATTGGTAAGGGTTCAATTAGATCGATCCCCCATTTTGCAATAGGCCACGGACTGAATACCGACCTGAGTGGTTCTGGAGTTAAGTTAACGTTGGGCGCGAATATTTGACATTTGACGCACCTTCTGAACCAATCTGCAGCATCTCTTTTCAGAGTCGGCCAATAATATCCTTGCCGCAGAATCTTATAGGCTAAAGCTTGAGACCCCGAATGACTTCCACAAACTCCATCATGAATTTCTTGCAGTACGAAGAGCGATTCTTGTTCGGGTATGCATTTTAACAGCGGGACCGAATATCCTCTTTTATAAAGCGTCCCATTATCCAGAGTAAACCGAGCTACACGAATTCGCAAGGCTCGTGCTTCTTTGGGATCTTGTGGTTGGGCTCCGATTTCGAGATATGCTATAATGGGATCCATCCAGGTGACAATTCGTTCCACGGAACCTGGCTCGGTGTTGGCTATTTACTTTACTGAGGTTGAAGGAAGTTCCTGTGTGCCGACCTGAACATACTCTACATCTTCGATTCTCGCACTCGAAGCAAGGTGTGATAAGGCGTCAACCTGAACATTAGAAGTCCGTGGGATGTGTTTAATCTTGAACTGAAACTTAGATAACATCTTCATGGCTATCGCTAGATATGGCATTAAGCGTGGTTCTTTAACTTCAAAGATTCCAAGTATCTGATTGACTAGCAGTTGCGAATCTGAAAAGATGTTGATGTAAGTTATGTTCATGGCTTCTGCCAGGTTTAGCCCCGACAACAATGCTTCGTATTCAGCTTCATTGTTGGTAGCGGGAAAAAGGAATTGAATCGAATGACAAAAGACCCGTTGATCGGGATCAATTAGGACGATCCCTCCTCCCGCTCGGTTTGCGTTTGATGATCCATCGACATACATCATCCAGGGATGATCGTTAATAACTTCCTGGACCCCTGGTGTGAACTCGGCGATGAAGTCAGACAAAACTTGTCCCTTAACGGCAGTTCTCGGCTTGTAGTGGATGTTGAACTGCCCTAATTCCACGGCCCATTTGACCATTCGACCCGATGTGTCAGGTCGGTAAAGAATTTGTCGTAATGGAAATGCGGTTAATACAGTAACCGAATGTTCTTGGAAATATGGTCGTAATTTCCGAGCTGCAGTGATGAGTGCGAAAGCTAGTTTTTCCATTGGTGGGTATCTCAACTCGGCATCGTGAAGAGCTTTACTGACATAATACACCGGGTATTGCTGGGAATCTTCTTCACGGATAAGTACTGCGCTTATCGCCGAGTTGCTGACCCCGAGGTACAAATACAGCATTTCATCAAACTTCGGTTTTTGCAGAGTAGGAGGTTGAGATAAAGCTGCCTTGATGCTATCCAAAGCTTTTTGGCAATCATCAGTCCACTCAAACCGTTTTCCTTTTTTTATTGCGTCAAAGAAAGGTTTGCATCGATCTGTGGATTTGGATATGAATCGATTCAGAGCAGCGAGCCGACCTGTGAGTCCTTGCACTCCTTTAACCGAAGTCGGTGGCTTCAAGTCCATAATAGCCTTGATCTTTTGGGGATTTGCATCTATTCCCCTTTGACTGACTACATAACCTAGAAATTTACCCGACTTCACCCCAAACGTACATTTTTTAGGATTTAACACCATGGAGTAATCGCGTAAAATCCCAAACATTTCATTCAAATGAGTTACATGATCATCGGCATTCACCGACTTTATAAGCATATCATCTACATATACTTCCATGGTTCGTCCTATTAACCTAGAAAACATTTTGTTGACCAACCTTTGGTAAGTGGCCCCGGCGTTCTTCAATCCAAAGGGCATCATGGTGTAGCAGTACAGGCCCCTTGCCGAGTAGAAAGAAGTGTGTTCAGCCTCCTCAGGATCCATGGGAATTTGGTTGTATCCCGAGTATACATCCATGAAACTCATCAGTTCATGACCTGAAGTAGCATCCACCATGTAGTCGATGTGGGGTAACGGGTAACTGTCTTTTGGGCAGGCAGTGTTGAGATCGGAAAAGTCGATGCAGAGACGCCATGTCCCGTTACTTTTCTTCACCAGGACAGGGTTGGACACCCAAGTTGGGTATTTGGCTTCTTTAATGAACTTGTTATCAATGAGCTTGTTAACTTCTTCTTCTAAGGCCTGTTGCCGATTTGGACCGAGTTTCCATCTTTTCTGGATGATAGGTTTGATCGCGTGATCAATGTTGAGTCGGTGACAGGCTACCTTCGGGTCTATCCCTTTCATGTCTTCGTGTCTCCAGGCGAAGACGTCGGCATTAGACTTCAAAAACGAAATGAGTTCGGTTTGAATGGGCCCTGGAAGGTTAACTCCAATACGAAGTTATTTGTCACAAATTGGTTCATCAACATAAATGATTTCTATTTCTTCAAACGGTTCAGCTCGGTTTTCTTGCTTCTTTTCTTTGAACTGGCTACGTAGATCTAGTTCATCTTCTTCCATGACGGGTTCCTTTCCCAGTATCCTCCCCCTATCTCGGGTAAAATCCTCTCCAATAAGTTCACTGAAGTTGGAAGGGTTTGAAGTTGGAATTACCAATGTCGGCTGAACCTCTAACAGAGTTGGAACAATCCCAAGATCGACATCTTGAATGTCTTCAAGAACCGAGCTCTGTAGAGCTCGGGTACAGTCAATCTTCTTTTCTTTCCCTTCAGCGTGCATTTCTATGTTATGGATCTCTCGAGAAGGGATTGCCAAGATTAACTCACGAGCTCCTAGCTGATCGCCATAATGAGTTCCCTCGCCATCAGCAGTTGGAAATTTTATTGCGTAATGAAAAATGGATACTGCCGCTCGTAACTTGTATAGGGCTATTCTTCCAATGATGGCATTATATTCGTTATTGATGTCCATGATTTTGAAGTTTTCCATGATGACCTTGGAAGTTTGCCCATGACCTCCGAACCTGATGGGAAGGGTGATTTCCCCCAATGGAAGAGACACGCTCCCGTTGAATCCGTGGATCTTATCGTTACATGGACACACGTCGGCTGGATCAAGTCCGAGCTTCCTAAAGGCTTGAAGCATAAGGATGTTTGAATATGCGCCTGTATCCACCATTATGCGATGGACGGGGATTCCGCAGATTGGTACGGTTATGATTAATGCATCGGAATGAGGATGATCAAACAAGCTTGCATCTTCTAATGTGAAGGTGATCGGACAAGTGCGCGAGTTAATCGTTTCCCTCAAATCGGTTGTCATTACTTGTTTTCCCGAGTTGTATGCTTTTCTAGCATATGCTTTTGCTTGCCGACGTGAGAATGTTAACTCTTCTCGGTTGGTATTAACTCGGGGAACAGAACCTAACCGAACTGGAATTGAGGAGTGTGATCAGTGTTGGATCTTTCAAGTTCCCTATTTCTCTTTCCAAGTCGGTCTTCGGTCGACTTGGACTCGTTTGGCCTGAGCATGAAGATCTCCTTTTCTCCTTGTTGTAGACGGATTCTTTTTGAGTTCATTGCTTCTTCGTCTTCTTCATCTCGGTCAGGAATGTGAGCTATTTGTCGCCTTTCTTTGCCTTCATGTTTGGTAAATCTTCTCACTTGTGGATTTCCAATCAACTTCATGAGAGCCGACAACAAACTTAGGCATTCATCGGTGTTGTGACCTGGGGATCGGTGGTAATCACAATACCGCGATTTGTCCAGCTGACTTTCAGGAGTCTTTACTGGTCGGGCTTTAGGAATTTTCCCTTTTCCTTTGATCTCTTGATAAACTGTTGCGGCACCGACCGAATAAATTGACCGGTACTCGTGGGAATAAGCCTCTCTTTTTCTCGTTTTTGCTCCGTTTTTTGAGCTCTATATATTGAAACGACCCCCGGACTCGTGGGAATAAGCCTCAATTACGTTTTTTTTTCACTTTCTCCTACTCTTAAACTTGGATTTTGATCGTTGTTTTGCTCAACTTTTCTTCTTTATTTTTCCAGATTAAGCTTGTTCATTGATTCGACTCTTGGTTCTTTATTAATCGTAAGTTTTCCTGTTCAGTTAATCCTTGAATATGAATGCTTGGGTTCTTGAGATGGATTGTGTTGAATTCTACATGAGTAGCTAATTCGTTTCGCTAGGGATAGGGGATGATGATGTTGTTTAGGATTTAATTGTGATTATCATGCTAGTTGATCGTTCAATTTATGCGAGTTGTTCATAACTAAGGTTTATAATTATCGTGCATTGAATGTTGAATACTGTTGAAGAGTGACACTTCGATTTACAATTGATTTCCAATTGAATATGATTCGTTCTTGTGTGATGTTTTTAAATCTAACGAACTACTAGATTAACAATCATCTAGATAATTTAATCGACTCTTAGAACCGAAAGGGGAGGAGTTGATCGATCTAGGCTCGTATGAAATAGGCTTGTTCGGAAACGTATTGTCTATGTGTTTTGTGATTTGCGTAATTTACCGTCTATGATACCCTCTTGTTACGAAGAGTTATTGAGGATTAATCTCTAGACGTTAGATTGTTTGAATCATTTAATCGAATGATCTTAACTTGGTAATTGCATTGGTTTGCGAATCATCATCTTCGACTCCTTAGCTTCTTATCCTTTGATCTTCATCTTTGCTTTTAAGTTCGATTGTGCATTGTTTGAATTCGCTTTCGTAGTTGATAATTAAAAACCACTACTATCTTGATTGGAGTGTTTATGATTTATTTTCCTTTTATGTGCGCCTTCCTCAAGAGATCGACCTAAGGAACGAATCTTTTGATTCAATACTCGGTAAAGATAAATATAATTTGCTACAACAACAGTCTTGAAAACAACTACAGAGTTGCAACTCGGTATACTGTAAGTATATCATTCATGCGCATACACATAACATATACTTAACGTAGTCGAAAGTTTTGATATATCTGCCGCTTGCGGTCGTCTTCCAGTATCTCCCTGTTGGGCCCCCGGGTCACGCCCGCGGCCCCCTGGCCCGAGTTCGAAATCCTTGCTCGGACCAGTGAGGTCTCTGTTTGCTTTTGCCTTCAGGTTGAAGGCGGTCACCTGAACGTAGCCGCTGGTGCCGGAGCCCCAATGGGTCTGCAACCCTATTCCGTTGTATATCATTGGGGCTACAAAAATCGATCATATTTCAACGATTGCGCCGATCACAAGTGAACAAAGAAGAGAGAAAGAGAGAGAGAGAGAGAGGATAATGGGTCGTTGATAGAGAGAGATGAAGAGGTGAAATAACAAAAAAGAAGAGAGAGGGAGGGGGAGAAAGAGAAGAAAAAGAGAGATAGGGAGAAAGAGGCGTGATTTGGGGGAGAGGAACTGATAGGTTTCCTTAAAAATATGTAATTCATGATTACATTGTTTTCTGGTATATTTGCAAATAAAAACATGATTTTAGGTAGGATTGCTAATATTTATAATAGATGTTTAATTGTGTAATAAAAACGGAAATTTATAGTGTAGGGAGTAATTTTCGCAAAAATCAAGGGGTTTGGATGGTTGGATTTGGGCCGTTGATCACGTTTCATGTGTTCCCTAGTCTAATGTGCTTCTTTCACAATATGTTTGTATCAAACGTGAATGAGAGGGAGTGGAAAAAATATTAGATTTTTAAGAATTTTAAAATTTTTGAAATATTCATTTAAAATTTTAAAAGTCACGAGACATTCATTGAGATTTAAAATTTTTAAAACGCGATTAGATATTCATTGGAATATTAAAAAGACTTAAAAGATGATGAAATATTCAATATATTTATTTATTCAGACTTTTTGAGACATACTGAGATTCCGAATATAGAATACATAATACCAAACCCCATTTGAAATCTATCTTCAAACATGAGATTAATAAGAATTCATGTTAATACTTAAATATATTAAAAAATCTCAAATCTTTTGAAAATGTAACTCAAAATATAAAAATATTAAATACTCTAAAATTTCTAAAACCTTTAAAACTCCTTAAAAAATCTTATATAATACACCACCTAGTTGATTTAGGTGAAGAAAAATTAATATGTGAGACAACCAAATTATTAGTTGGATCGACTTAGTGTACTATGAACAAAAATACATACTCTTCAAATAAATAAATAAATAAATACATATCTTATCAAATGTCATAGCATTTCTTTCGGTGTGTTTGTTTATAAATTATCTCAATTTTTATTCAATCAATTCTTAAAGTCCAACTCAACTTTAACCCAACAAAACTATCATCAATATTATCAATATAATTGAATAATAACAATATTCATTCTTACACATCCATCAACTTTAATTCACGATTCATTCACTCGCATAATTTTAGACTATTTCTCAATTTACGTGTGTCATCTTTGTGCAGGCCATGCTAATCTCTATCCTATTAATTCACTCGCATAATTTTAATTAATCATCACTTCATATTATTTCTCTCATACTTTTACACCAAATCAACTTTAATTATTTTATTTTCAATATTAATTTAGTATAAACTCAAAATTACACTAACTACCATAGTTATTTAAAAAAAGAAAAATCATTTTGGGCTGATGTTAGGTGAAAGGATGGTGCAAGATTTATTTATTTAATTTCGAGCCTGTACCGCTGAAAGAGACACCCCTGACCCCTAATGTAACCAACGACGTCGTAGTTCGTGTTTCAGTCTAATTGCTCTATTCTGCTTCCTCGGCAGGTAGATCTGAAATCTCCGTCACTGTATCTGAACTCAGGAACAAATGGCCGCGTTTATCAACCTTGAAGATTCGCCTATGTTCCACAAACAGGTAAAATTCACTGACACCTAATATGTTAATTTCAGTCTTCTTCTTTTCTCCCATGTAGTACATTTGTATGGGCCAGTGTTGATGCTTATTTGTTTCATTGTTATTTTCTTTTGAATATCCGTTTCTTATGTTAGTTTGGTAATGAATTGTCAGGTGCGGTCTTTAGAACAAACATCAGATGAGTTAAGAGATCGATGCCAAAAGCTGTATAAAGGATGTAAAAAATACACGTAAGTACACATCGTTTCAGCTACCGGAGATTTTGTTTACCATAGCTGTCCTATTATTGGCATTGAGCATTTGATTCTTTTGAGCCTCCATCGTTGCTGTACACTGTTAATTTATGCTCGTGGAAATGACTTTTCATTTTGGTTTCTTTCATTTTCTATACCACTCTTTCTCAGTTGGGCTATTGGAGAAGAGTGTGAGCCTGTGAGCCTATTTTGTTATTTTGAATATTAATGATCAAATTGATCGTGTGTGTGAATTGGTTTAAAGTGCTTTCATAGATTGAGTCCTGAAGCTTTTTGTGGTAAAAGTTCTTGATTCCCTTTGCCTTTTCGGTCTTCATTTCTTCTTTTGGTGTTACGAATACATTATGCATTCCAGATTGTACTCTGCAACAGCCTAAAAACTAATTCATATCACAATTTGGGGATGCAGGGAAGTGCTTGGGGTTGCATTCCAATGTGAGATGGACTTTGCAGCATCGCTAGAAGCATTTGGTGGTGGTATTGATGATCTTCTAAGCGTATCCATTGGAGGTATGTTACATGGCAATCCTGGAGAACATTTGTAACATTCCAACAAAAAAGAGCTTGGTGTTGCCTATCGGATGAAGTTGGTCAACTATATTTGACAAGCCCTTTCTTGAAGTTCTTTTCTGTTTTTACAATATCGTCGCCACAGTGATAGTTTTTTGAGTACACTTGATGACTAACTAATCCATTTGTGAATAACTGAACAAAAAGGGACTAATTAGCACTTGTCCCCGCGTGAAGTTTGATGAGTGAAATCTGTTTAAAGCATTGCTCAAGTGGGATGTGCAATGGCTATGAGTTTCAATAGGATTTTCATTGATGCTTGTATTTCCTTTCTGACAGGTCCAGTGCTATCAAAATTTATTAATGGTTTGCGTGAGCTTGCCACATACAAGGAGTTTCTTCGTTCCCAGGTGAGTGTTTATTTTGATAGGGAAGACCATTAATATGAATGGGGACGCTAGATGCATTGTCTTTGAAGTTTAACCATTTTACTGTATTTGGCGCATATGTTACACCACTGAGCATCACCATCCCTTGATGCACAATCTTTGCTTCAGTCCTCAATATTGGAATTTCTACTGCATATTGTACTTTGTCAACGCTGTGTCTTATTTTTTCACAAATATAATATAATCATATTGGTGTGCTGAATCTGGTATTTGTTGTACATGGATTTTATGGTGGTGCCATTGAGTGCAAATTTTTCTTTGACAATATTTAACCTAATATTGCTTCATAGTGAAAGCTAAGCATCTATGCACATCAATTTTTATTATCATATTATTCGAAATGCATTATAATTTTCAAAGTTCAAGGTTGGACTTTGGACAACTTTTGTGTAGCAGACATGAAATTTGTACCTTTAGTTGAAAACACATTTTTCTACAGTTGACAGTTTTGTGAGGAATCTTAATTATGACAAGATTCAATATGACAAAATATCTAATACTGCAGGTTGAGCATGTTCTTGTGGGCCGTTTGTCTCAATTCTTGTCCTTTGATTTGCAAGATACAAAGGTAAGCCCAATCAATTTGCGGTTGTAAGTTACAAAATCACCATATTTAAATTATAGAATTTAAAATTCTAATCTGTGCTTCTAGTCTATCCATCTAAAAGTTCTTTTATTATTTGTTCCATAAGTATTTGTCCATCTTTTTTTTAGGTTATCATTTTGCTAAAAGTTTTTTCCATATTGATTCAATAAGGTGTATGGGTACTCTAATTTCTATTTTTACTTCCCCAGCCCACACTTGAATATATGTGCAAGTACCCAATGTTCTTAAATTCTCGAGGCACTTACTAGGTGGAGTGCTGGAAACTTGACCTAGGCAAACGCTTAGACAGGGATAATCAAATAATTTTGCATGTATTTTTTCTATATTACGTCATTGTAATTAGCTTATATCATTAAAAGAGGATTACAATGCATATAGATTGATGCACTCTAAGATAGCTATTAAGGAAAACTAATGTTGAGAATCAGAAGGAATGAAGTGGATATGATTGACATCCATTCCTTAAGCTATTCTCCTATATATAATTTGCGAATGCGTTGAGTTTAAATGGTAGGTTCACACTCTTCAAAATCCTAAATCCTATGTGGCAAAATACCATATTAGGTTTGAATATAAATTAATATTTTTATACAAAAATAATTAGGCTTTGATTGCATCAAATATCTATATTATTCACATTAAATCTGTGATTAATCTCTTACTTTTTTTCCTCTACAATTAGTTACTATAAACTATTTTCTTTTGCTACATTATCATATATTACATTTTCTTTTCTTATTTATTTCATACATAAGCTATTATAAATCCGTCTTCTTCTTATTTTGTTTAAATTTTTTTAATTTTTTTGTTTGTATTTTGTTACACACTAGTATGAGTTCCGTGCAGTTCACGGGTAAGAGTTATTCATTAATATTTATAAATTAAAAATTTTTATTAAATAATATTTATAAATTAAAAATATAGAATCAATATGTAATAAAATTTATCTATATTAATTTATTGAAAATGTTACATAAAGTTTAAATTGTGCAAAATTACATAAAAATATTTATTTAAAATTTGTACACAACTCGTGTAGTGCATATATATGATAATAAATTACATTATATTTATTTCAAGATAAGTGTCATTTCAAAATTTTTATTCAGAAATTCGATTTGACTACAATGTGATTCCATAAAATAGTTATTTTGATAAAATATTATCATATATTTAACAACCTATGTGAATAAGAAGTATAAATATAAAATTTATATTGTTTCATGTTTAAAGTAAATTTATTTTTGTATAAACTATTCTAATAAAAAATTGACTATTCTAATAAAAAATAATTGACTTAAGTAATTTGTATAAACTATTCTAATAAAAAATTTATTTTCATGACTTAACTAGTTAAGTAATTTGTTAAACTATAAATAATTGACTATTGCGTTTACGTCCAAGTAAATATTGACCTATAAGTTATAAGTTATTGAGTAATTCATTAAACTAGAAATAATTGACTATTTCAAGTTAATAGTGACCTGTAAGTTATGAATAATTATTTTTTTGATTTTTAATTTTAAACAAAAATATTTTTTTTCAATATATTATATACCACATTTAAATCATGCAACTAATAAAGGTAATGACCGCAAGTTTTGTCAATATATTATATTCCAAATTTAAATCATTCAACTAATAAAGGTAATAGCCACAATATTTGACCAAAATGATTATGTACATTAACTACATTAATTTAGGCGGGACTTTTCAAATTTTGGCTAAAAAATTACCCAATTTAGTAAATCTGAATTTTTAGGCGGGGAACCAAATAATTTTTTTATTGATTTTTAGTTACTATTTCAAGTAAATATCATTGTCTTTTTATCTATTAATAGTTAGTTTTTCAGGATTTTTTATAGTTGGTGGTGTTGTGATAGAGGATTTGTATGTGATATCTATAAAGTAATTTTTGGTAATTGATGGTTGGTTTGATATGGGATTCCTTGGTGGTAAGTATATCAATAAATATCAATTTTATTAATTATTATGGAAACTTTAAGATTTTTATTGTGACATTCCAAAGGAGCATTTTTTTTTTAAAGAACACTGTGAAAAATACAGATATGGATTGAGGAAACCATCTAAATTGGCTTATTTCTTTTGGTATATAAATATTTGAGAGACAACAACAACAACAACATAGCATTTTCGTCCCAAGCAAGTTGGAGTAGGTTAGAGATGAAACCCAAGAGAACCAAAGGTAAGAGAAACACAAAAAGGGCTCAAAATAAAAGGAAATAAAAGGAAGAGATTGGAGCAAAAGAGAAAGAAGCAAAAGTCACGGTTCTGACACGTTGATTGCTAGCCTCCAACCGCCCCTATCCACCGCTAAAGCCTTGGAGATATTCCAATCTTTAAGGTCTCTCTTAACTGACTCTTCCCAAGTGAGTTTAGGCCGACCTCTACCTCTCTTCATATCATCGACCCGCTGAAGAACTTCCCTACGCACCGATGCATCAGGAGGCCTCCGTTGGACATGTCCGAACCACCTCAGCCGATGTTGAACCAATTTCTCTTCAATTGGAGCCACCCCGACCTTATCTCGAATATCCTCATTCCGGATTCTATCCCTTCTTGTGTGCCTACAAAACCAACGCAACATACGCATCTCTGTTACACTTAGTTGTTGGACATGTTGCCTTTTTGTAGGCCAACATTCAACACCGTATAGCATCGCCGGGCGAATCGCCGTCCTATAGAACTTACCTTTTAGCCTTTGTGGCACCCTCTTATCACAGAGAACGCCCGAAGCTTGATGCCATTTCAACCAACCGGCTGCAATTCTATGCCTAACATCTGCATCAACTTTTGTAGCATCGATCCTAAATACCAGAAAGTCTCCTTCTTGGCCACCACTTACACGTCAAGGCTAACGTGACATCATCATGTGTAGCCATGCTGAAAGCGCACTTCATGTACTCGGTCTTCGTCCTACTAAGTCTGAAGCCTTTCGACTCTAACGTGTCCTTCCACAGTCTAACTTCCTATTTACCCCTGCCCTACACTCGTCAACTAGCACCACATCATCAGCAAAGAGCATACACCAAGGGATATCACCTTGTATGTCCCTTGTGGCCTCATCCATCACCAAGGCAAATAAATAAGGGCTTGACCCCTGGTGTAGTCCTATTTTAATTGGGAAGTCGCTGGTATCGCCCCTACATGTTCGGACACACGTCATCGCATCCTTGTACATATCCTTGATGAGGGTAATGTACTTAGATGAGACTTTGTGCTTTTCTAAGTCCCACCACATGACATTCCTCGGTATTCTGTCATAAGTTTTCTCAAGGTCGATAAAGATCATGTGCAAGTCCTTCTTTTGGTCCCTATATCTCTCCGTCAACTGTCATATTAGGAAAATCGCCTCCATGGTCGACCTTCCAGGCATAAACCCAAATTGGTTTTGGGTCACACTCGTCACTCGTCGTAGGCGATGCTCGATAACCCTCTCCCAGAGCTTCATCGTATGGCTCATCAACTGATAGATGAGTTTAGTCAAACAAAATCTTTTATATATATCTATACAAATGCAATACAATCCGATTTACATGTGATTTTAATTTAAAATTTACCAAATGTGAAAGGGACCAAATCAAACTGATTTAATAAGTGAGCGGGAGTTTTCAATTCTTTTAAAAAAAATTACTAATTTTAGTAATTCTAAGATTTAGGCGGGAATTGAATTTTTTTTTTTTTTTTCAAATTAGTTATCTTTTAACGATCTTCGATCTAACATTCATATTACATATATAAAATAAATACAAATAATAGTGATATATTCCTTAAATAAAATTTAAATTTATTTATCAAACTAAATTAAAAGTATTAAATAAAACTATAAGTTCTCTTATACAACAATAGAATTAATTTGTTTTAACATACCATAAAATAGTTATTTTAATTATAAAAATATATACACCAAGTACGAACATAAAAAAATATTCAAAATATTTGAGTCTCAACTTAAATAAAGACTACAAATGAACATTATAATGATATTAAAAATAAAAAATGTCTTAGTGAACACAATAGTTAAAAATAACGAGGACGAACACAATAAAAGGTTATCATGAACCTTCAAAGACATTTTCCATTGTGCATGTACATGAACTGATAGTGGTGGTACGATTCCTCCATGACATTGTGCGAAGAGAAGTGGGTAGAGGAGCAGATAATGCAAGTAAAGTTAATGCTTTCGGGAGAGGAGCAGGTGCTGTGGTGGCCACTGGGGCCACAGGCAGCCACAAGAGGAGGAGGAACAACTTCCACCACAGTGCTGGGGGCACTATTTGTGGTGACAACAACTTGGGGATGCAGCAACTGTTTCTTACAAAGTAGTTGCTTGATCAACTCTTCAGTTTCACTCAGTTATGCCAACAAATGATCCATAAATGTCCTTAATGACGTAACACCCTTCCCTATTGTGTCTACGTGTTTCTCTATATGATTCTTTAATCGGATCAATTGATAGAGTTAAGGGTGAAAGCAAACGATATTAATTAAGAAAATAACTTAAAAACAACTCTAGATGAATCCTGCCTAGCTAAGGCCGATACTTTGGGAAGAGACTTCTCGTCTAAGTTTAAAGGTAAAAGTTCTATTTAACAAAGATATTCTAGGTATCAAATGCTAGTCTACTTAAATAGAGCCATATGTTGTGTTCGGTGAAGAACGTCGATGATTGTGCATGTTCGAAATCTACGAAATAAATCCTAAGCACAACGGATCTAGGAGTCCCGACACCTCTCCAAACTCGTCTTTGTGGCGACGATTGCTCGGAGTTTCTCCTTCATAAATCCCACTTGATCAAGGAAGAATTTTTGGGAAAGAAAGAAGGAAGAATTTTTGGGAAAGAAGAAAGATCTTGTGTTTTGAAAACACCATTTTTCTCTCTTTTCTAAAACTTCTCATACTGTATTCTCTCGCTTCAATTCACGCCTAGGGGGCGTGATTCTTATGGATGAGAAGGTCAAAATTATCATCTTGATTTATGAGGGAACTTGGTGTACATGCTACAGGAATATTAAGAAGGTATTAAATAAAGACTCCCCATAGGATTAGGCAACATAAGTTCTCGTCTACCTACGCCCAATCCATATGAATAATATTCCACTCTGCTCCCATGCCCACGGTGGGCACATGTTAAAATGCTCACCGCTTATGTGGCATTCACACATTGGTGATGTTAATATGTTAAAAAAAATACATCACCAATGTGTAAATGCCACATAAGCGGTGGGCATATTAACATGTGCCAACCGTGGGCATGGGAGCATTTCCATTTCTCACTGAAAGAATAATATCAAACTTCCTATTTAACTTCTAAATTACATATAATTTGGCTCCAAATTCATTTATTCGATTTATCTCCCCATATTTAAAATATGTCCATTATTAATTTTAGTTATTGACAATTTGATTAATTAACTTCTTGATCCGAAATTAGTACCACTCAAATTTTTTTTAATGCCGAAAATTAACCACCTGCATGGTTTAGCATAGTAAACGTTTTGAGTACTCAACCTGGCGTACTAGAACATAATGTCTTTAAATAATTTTAACGGCACATCGTATGCTCGACATTATTTACCAAAATACTGAGGCTATTTATTTGCTATTAATGTCACTCATTGGTGAATCAAATAAATAATAACATACACATACCCGTTTATTATCTTACGGATTAATAGTACTTGGTCTATTTACTTGGTCAATATAAAATAAACTTATCCTCTACAGTTTCAATACATTCTAAATGGACTAGTGTAATTCATTAGTCAAGATCAACTAATTCCAAAATTACACTACAACCGTTCACGACAATTAGTTGTCTAGGTTGTGAACCATATTCATTTTATATTTTACTTGCCTATGATCTTCAACACGATAAATCATATTATCTACAAGGTAAAATAAATGAACTATGTTCGCATAAGTAAATAAATTACAAGCACACACTTGACTAAAAACAATTCTCATTAAAAATAGAAAATTGGTTTAAACTAAAGCAAAATTTTCAGTATAAGAACCAACACCCTAATCCTAATTGTAATGGATATTATAAGAAAATGAGCCCAAAAGCCCAATTATTGAAATAAATAAAATAAAAATCGATCTCTAATGGTATGGTTTATTTGTGAAACACAAGATTGAATGCATTATGAAGAGTTGCGTGGTTGCCAAACTGTTGAGTTGGTTCATACCCAATCTCAGCTGATGTATCGATGCAGTCTCGCATACCAAATCGGCCATGCTTTGTTTTATATTTCATCAATAAGCCACGGATATTTTCTTGTGTGTCAATCAGACCAAATTTCCGCCCACAATCAGTAATGCCCGGAGGTTGATCTCCTATCATCCTGCATAATTTGCATATCAATGTTGTCAAATTTAACCAGCAATATCTGTTTTATATTGCCCCTGCAACCATAAAACAAATCAATCCCAGGAGCTCCTTTTCAAATAACATTAGATTTGCTTTGGAAGAGCCCAATAACTAACTGAAGGAGATGACATGAACCGAATTGCAACACTCATTGCTTTGCAATGTCCAGATGTGTTACTATCAAATCAACAACTCTCCGATGCCCCTCCTGGAATCATGAAATGATTCCTATTACCCTTTTTTTTTTTTCTGGATATACGTGTGCAGTGTCATCGGTATGCTACAAGGTCTTACCCCCAGTTTCCCCGTTCTTTTACCTTTGGACAATTTAGCAAGGCTAATGCATATTTCATCTGTGAAAGAAACTGCCACTTTTGTTTCTCATGACTATAACTAATTATCTTAAAAGATCCCATTTTTTTGCTTGAAAATGGGCATACGGAAATAACTTCCAACTCTGATATCTCTGAGCTATGACTTCTGTGATTACAATATTGTCTACATATACAACCAATAGAATAACCAAAAACCCCATTCTCCGATTGGTGCCTGTAGAAGAATGAGTGATCTGGTGGACATCATGACATTCTTAATCTTATAATTATTTGTTTTGACAGTATTGCGTTGGAGGCTTGCCCTGTTATTGTTTCCGGTCTGACTTTGATATTTTATTAGGAATTTGAGATGAAATTATTATGGAATGACATTGATATAAATAAAAATGTTTATTAAGAGTGCTAGGATGACCTGATTAATTTTTTAAATCACTTGGTTGTACTCTAACACAAGATGAACATGTCTTGAATCTATAATGTTACTGTAGGCTTGATCTACTGCCCATGTGATGATGGCTTCTGAGTATCAAAAGAAATACTTCAGTTGTCTTAAGGAATTTAAGCAATACATTAACTTTGACTATTAGTTCAGCTCTTATTAAACAAAATAATATTCCTTTGATTCTTGCTATCAAACATTTAGAAAAATATTCTACTATAATTCTTATCATACATTAACTTTGATTCTTAGTTCAACTCTTATAAAATAAAATAATATTGCTTTGGTTCTTGCTAGATCAAGATCAAACATTTACAAAAATATTCTACGATAATGCTTATCATTTGCCTCTTGCAGGAGTGTCGTCGCCGATTTGACAAGGCCATTTATGCATATGACCAGGTATGGAAGTTCATGAAGAAAGAATTCTGTGTGATTCAAGTAATGATTCGAGAAATCAAACATCCATATCATAGCGTGTTTTGCAATTTTGTATTCTTTACAAATCATTACTTTATTATGCAAGATCGAATTCAGCATTCATTGAAAAATAATATTCACAAATTAGAATCCCTGATTTTAGACAAGGGGTAAATTTTCTGATGGCAACTATAGGACTTAGTGTATGCCTTATTTTCTTATATGCGTCCCATGTGCCACTTGATATGACCTTGAAGAACCATATCTATTAAACTAGCTGTTGAGTGAGAATTCACAACTATGAACCCCTTAATAGTATCCTTAACATTTCTGTGGGACCCACCCGATACCATTAGATATGACCTTTGAAGAACCTTACCTAATAAACTAGCTGTTGAGTGAGAGCCCACAGCTTTATGAACCCCATAATTAGTATCCATATCATTGATGTGGGACCTGGATCTCATTTCTTGATGATAGTTTTCATATGCTTTGTGAACTTCAGGCATGTGTGCTACTTCATCTTCCTCCTTAATCTAACATTTAGTGTTTTGTGACAGGCCCGAGAAAAGTTTGCTTCTTTAAAGAAGACAGCGAAGGACGAAGTTGTTGCTGAGCTAGAAGAAGTAAATATTTTCCCTGTCTGTACTATTTAAAGTAACTATTTCCTGGTGAAACTTCTGACTTGAACTATTTTGTCATCTGGCAGTCATTATTATATCTGCTTAACTACATCACTATTGTACTTCTGGAGTTTCACTCCTCGAATCTTTGATAAAACTGTTAATTTTGTTTTATATATCTCTTTATTCATTATATTATGCGACATATACTAATTGGGCACACTAGATGCTGCATGGCCAGTACATTCCTTGGATATTATCTATGAGGCCTACACTTAAGCACAAGGTGGAGTTGTCAGAACATGCAGACACATTATCAAAGAGAGTTAGAAAAATGTTTTTCTCTTCATTGAATTAAAGTTCTAAAATATATAATGTGTTTATGAATGATTATGATTACCTCTCAGGGAACTAGATGTTTGTCAATAAGTTTTATTTACTGTCTCATGTTTCTAGGGGTCAGTTTCATCCGGTGAATTTACAATTATTTCATCAGTTAGCATTTTTTTTAAACAAGTACTTAAGTGACTGTTTTTTGTAATCTGTCATTACTCTTGTTGACGGTCGGAACCGCCAATGCCCATTTTGCGGGTCTTACATCACAGGTGAGTCTGACGACCATGCACCGGGAACTCACGGGACTCCCACAGTGCTCCACTCTAGGGTTAATACCCATCTTAAGGCTTCCTGTGTTTTTTTGCCCTTCCCCAGACTCGAACCCTGCACCCTGAGCATAAAACTCCAACTTATGCTTAGGGTGCAGGGTTCGAGTCTGGGGAAGGGCAAGCCTTAAGATGGGTATTAACCCTAGGATGGAGCAATGAGGGAGTCCCGTGAGTTCTCGGTGCATGGTCGCCAAATCCACTGGTGATGTAAGAGCCGCAAAATGGGCATTGGCGGTTCCGACCGTCAACAACCCTTTTTAAATTATATGGTATAATATGATTTATTGTAAATATTCCTTTCAGATGGAGTGTTTTATGAAATTGTATGATTTTCTATATATGAAATTCTTGATGATGTTATTTTAGCACATAAGTTTGTCAACATCTTAGAAGAAGCAATAAATCATTGTTGGGTCCCATATTATCCTTGCTGATACTTCCGCTTGGCCGGATCAAAATAAATTTTCTGAATGGAGAGTAATTCGTGCATCTTGTCTGATAGCAAGGAGTTGAAATTTTAAATATACACATTTGACGAGCTTTATTTCTTCACTTCTCATACTCCCTGCAGTCATTTGAAGTTATAGAACCACCAAAGATACTTTTAAAGTTCGAAATAACTATTATTAGACCCAGTCAAATCTCAATATTACAACTCCCTTAAAGTAGTACAAAGACCCCCTCTTGAATGTGTTGTGAAACGGAAACAAGTATCAAGGGGACAAGTAAAGCTTTAAACATTGAATTTTTGTATTTTGTGTTAATTAGGGAGCAACCTCGTTCTTTCAAGCAACACTGCATCATAAAGTATATTTTAAATTAGGAAATGTAATCTTAAATGTTGCCTCCTTCAGGCGGAAATAGGAGCATTAAAGTTCAACCATAGAGACTTTCTTGCTGATATGAAGTGTGTTGTTGTGCATGTGTGCGTAACTAATGCATTACCATCTGGAGAAGAATGGAGTCTTTCTTGGTTTTGTGTGGTGAATGGACCATTTTTAAATCTTAAATATTTTGGTAATGTTCAATATTTTCTTGTAAGAAAATTGGAAGTTTTGAAAATTTAAATTTAATTTTGGAGTTTCTATGAAGAAAGTTTGCATGGTTTGTGGTTTCTTTCTATCGTTCTATTACTTGATTGGCTGATAAAATTCAACACAATGTTCTCTTTATTTAAGTTATTGAACTGTAATACTATTTAAAAGAAAAGTTGAATAAAAATAGAAGTATGATTCGTTTTCTTTTCTTATGTAGAATGTGTAAACTTACTTGCTGAATTTCCAACAGGATCTACACAATTCAAAATCAGCATTTGAGAGAAGCCGCTTTAATATGGTATCATGATGCACAAATGGCTCTCTTTTTACTTTCATATTATGATTTTATGTGTATATATATTACTACTATCAATTTAAGAATTTCAGGTAAATTCCCTCATGAACATTGAAGCCAAAAAGAAGTTCGAGTTCTTGGAATGTTTTAGTGCAATTATGGATGCTCACCTACGATACTTCAAATTGGTGTGTTTTTTAGCTCACCGGCTGTCATTCTTACTTATGGAGGTTATTGGTATTCTTCCTGATCAGTGAAACATATATTGTTTATAGGGGCATGATCTATTGGGCCAGATGGAGCCTTTTATTCACCAGGTACATCAATCAGTCCCAACTGTGTGACTGTTATTTTGAGTGAAATGAGATGCTGATGTCAAACGTGTGAGTGAAACTTGAATAAGACCATATTTCTGCCATACTGATGGTCCTTAAGTGTGCTTTAAATTCATTTCTCTGTGATTAGTCAAGACAATATTTATTGTAGATGGTAAGAGAATTTGATTTGTAAAGTTTAAACTTAACTTCATCTGCAAAACATTTGATTCTACAGCTAGTTTCTGGGCATTTAGGAATTGATTATAAATGTAAACTTATTAGCATTGGTAGCCACGTTGAACCAGTAGACTCCAGGATGTTTTAATGCCTTATTTAAATAAGTTAATTGCAATAGACATCCCTGAGTTTTAGGCTTATATGCTTTATTTCAATAAGTTAATTGCAAAAGACATCCCTGAGTTTTAGGCTTATAATGAGGAAAACCCAGTTACTTCTTATTTATATTGCCCCATTTACATTTGTTTCTAGTTTACAAATTGAACCATCAAGATGCGTACTCTTCAATTACAAAACAAACCTCAAGGGTGTACTCATTTGAGAATTATCTACAAGTTCTGGCAGTTTTTTGTAACTATTCGTAATTTTAATATAATCCACTTGTCACGGGTCTTTTTCATTGACGGTTGAAGCAGAGAAGAACAAGGTTTGGCTGCATTTTTTTAATTGAGTAGAAAAGAGATTGAACTAGCATAAATAGGTTTTATGTGTGAAGAACATAGCTTAAGTTAGAAAATATTCTTGGAGAATATACAGCATACACATGCAATGATTATAAGGCATTAAGGTGGTTACTTGGTAGCCAAAAATTCTTCATTTTATAGTTTATTTCCTATTTCAGGTGTTGACGTGTGCACTACAATCAAAGGAGCAAGCGATGATTGAACAGGATAAACTTGCCAAAAGGATTCAGGAGTTCAGAACACAATCAGAATTGAATCATTTGCAAGCATGTGGTAAATTGCCAACTTCAAATGCTATTGGCATGAATGGATTTGGAATGAGTGCTTATAAAAGCACGGAGGCAATCATGCTAGCTGCTTCTAAAGGTGAGGTGAGTTGTTTCAGATATGATTGGCCATTGACTGGTGAAAATTCTTCATCCTAGTTGTGAATGGTGCATGTATTTATAATGTTTTATAGTGAGAAAGTTTGATGTCTCAACCCGACCGTTTGAATTCAAAATTCAATCTATCTGTTTAGACAAAAAACCATGTAGTCCAAAGAACAGCAGTTGCATTCATGTCTACGTATGATTTTTCTGCTTCATTACTAAATTATGGTAATCCAAAAATGCTACTTTGTCTGTATGAGAAGTGATTTGGCTGAACAACATCATCCATCCTGGGTTTGACTGTCGGGGTAGGATTTACTCGAGTAGACTTCAACAATTTGCAAAAATCTCCTTTTCCAGTGTGAATGTTTTAGTAGACATTCTCCTCTGAGTTTCATACATTGACATGTCTCCCTAGAAGAGTCTGCCCTCTAATTTTGACCAACTGCGGTCCGACGAACAAATTTCCTTTCTGTGCTGACTGCCAACTTTACTGGTTGATTTGTCTTTTATTGAGCAATTATCTACCTTTCTGATTACTCTGCTGACATTTTGTAATTTGTCTTTGCTTTAAATCTTATTTACCCAACTTACATCAACTTTGGATGTCCACTGAAGTAGAATTATCTGCTCAAGCAAAATAAGTCCCTGTTGAATATTTCTCTGGTCTATTTTGTGTATGTGTGTGTGTGCGGGTGTTATAATTAGAATGATAACCATATCATTTTATTCATTAAAAAATTAAATTGCACATTAGCAAAGTTGCACAGTTATCCGCTCCAAGAGAAAATAAGATGCAATCACCACTATGCTAATCTTTAATCTCTAAATTAATCACAAAAAGGTTTAAACAAGAACTTAGATGCTCCAGGCATGGCCAACCTTCTTTAATGCTCTAAAAAGGACAAAATTGTGTGTACGGAAATCCCAAGAATCTGTTTAAGGATTCTCCAAACTGCACTTGGACAACACAAATCAACCAAGAGAGAATATATAGGAGTCATCTGCTCTAATTTGTTGCACGTGGGAAATTTACCCAACCCCACAATCTAGAAAATATTTGAAATTTTGTTTGTAATTTGTATGGGACCTTCCATATAACTTTGAAATTAGGTAATTGAGCGAACAAAGATCAGGGATAACGATCATAACAAGAATAGATAGTTTGATGATCCACCTACTTTTTAGAGGTAGTTATAATCTTTGCCTGGTACACTTTTTTTCTGCCACCAGGAGCAAGTTCACATGTAATTTTGGTTTGACAAATAAATAAAAGTACCTCTTAGCTGTTATCTTGTTGTGGAGGTTATGATAGGATTGAACTAATTAGGCGTAGATATTTTACCTTACATGTGAAATATAAGAAGGTGGTCTGTGGCAGTTGGGGTTACTTCTCGTACTCCATAACTGATGTTAATAAAGTAGGGATTGTTTCATCAATGGCTTTATTATCTGTCACAATATGATTAGTGCAGTATCCATGGTGTTAAATATGGTGGCGTTGGAAATTTAATGATCATTCTTTTGTTTAGGTCCAAACTATCAAGCAGGGTTATCTTTTAAAGAGATCATCAAGCCTGAGAGCAGATTGGAAGAGGAGATTCTTTGTACTTGACAGTCATGGGACTTTATATTATTACCGCAACAAAGGTGCCCAACCAGGGGTATGCTATATTTATGTTAACTGTTCAAATCAGTAATTGACCCTTTTTACTTTCTGGGGACTATTTTTTTCCCCTTTTTATTCCGTGAACATGAACATTTGAGGACCATTTAATTTCCAGCAGATGAAAGCATAGCTCCATTATATTTGCGTCAAAGAAAAAGGGGTGATTGCAATAATAATATTTACAATTTCTACTTAGAAACTGAGAAGCTCCTGATGTTCGCCCTCTCTGTATGTGTTTTTATTGAATTTGAGAATGCTCTTTGACAATCTGAATTCTTCTGTAGTAAGAATCATTCACATGTGAAACCTGTTATCTTAAGCAATAATGTTTATTAAGCTTGCATTTCTGTAGATAACCACCTGAGCTGCAGTTGCTTAGTTCTTAGGGGACTAACTATCTATTCCAGATATCTTGAAGCCTAAGCCTTTATTGATTAGTTAACAATCTGGTGATCCATCCAGGCTCTGTGCATCTAGTGATTGGCTGTCTGCTAAACTTAGGTCAAACTTTTAATATCATATTATCTTTTTCAAAGATGTTTGGGCAGAATCATGATGAGTTTTGTGAAAATAATACTAATTGATTATATGAAGTCATTACCCATGTGATATGACTAGATAGATCTCTATTATTTTCTGTTTGCTGCTTTTGCTCATATAAGGGTTCCCTAAAATTGATCTTCTCTTAATCACTACATGTTTAGTATTTTTATCTTAGCAAAGTGATTCCGGATTCCATCTGCTTCCCAGGGTTCTCCTTCATTTAATTCTTTCCACTCACTGGAGCATAATAATCGTGTATTTAGTAGATTCCGATCAAGACAACATCAAGTGTCATCACTTGGTGAAGACAGTTTGGGCTGTAGTACTGTTGATCTGCGTACTTCAACAATTAAGATTGATGCTGAGGATACTGATCTACGACTCTGCTTCAGAATAATTTCACCATCTAAAACTTATACCTTACAGGTAATATGAGGAAATGTGTTGCTTATTGTTACTCATTTCATGCTGTTGATCTGTCCTATGGGTTCTGGTATATAGTTATTTTTCTAATCCTTGTTACAATTAAACTTGTGAAATCTTCTTACCCAAACAAAAAAGGAAAAAACGAAGAAAGTATTTAATTAATTTTAAATTTTAAATTTATTAGAAAATGATGCAATGTATGAATTTATAACCCGACAAAAGGCCTTTTATCTTTTGAAGTGTGTTAGATGATATGTATTTTATTTCGGAGAGGATTCTCATTTTATTTCCAGATAACTCACTGCATTCATTGACTTAGTTCTTGCTAAAAGGACTACTTTTCCTTTGATAGGCTGAAACTGAAGCTGATAGAATTGACTGGATGAGCAAGATCACTGGTGTCATTGCATCCCTCTTGAATTCTCGCCTGCAACAGGTTACTTCTGTAACTTCTTGAACTTGTGATTCGACTGTATGCATGGTCTTACGGAATACCTTAGTTCTACTAGTAACATCATTTTTATCTTTTGCAGTTTGATTTGGAGAACAAGAATAACAGCAGAGACTATGATTTGGGTGGGACATCTGTTAGGCAAGCACTTGTTAGCAATAAAAATGCTCCAGATGACATGAGAGAGAACCAAGCTGACTCCGTTTCCAAGATTCTGAGGGAAGTTCCTGGAAATGATCAATGTGCTGAATGCAGTGCCCCAGATCCTGATTGGGCATCTCTGAATCTTGGCATCTTAATGTGCATCGAGTGCTCTGGTATTCACCGTAATCTTGGAGTTCACATATCTAAGGTACTTAATCTCATTGCAACATATTGAAAATTGGAATTCATTTGCTCTCTCTCTCTCTCTCTCTCTCTCTCTCTCCTGTGTGTGTTGTTTGCCCATCTATAAATATAAATTTATTTGTTTTAGTGTTTACTTTTTTTTTTATATGCTTGCCATTTATCCTCCCGTTATCTTTTCCTTTTATGTTTTGCAACATTTTTTTCTTTTATTTGTTTTCTTCATCCTGTTTATTTTAAGTTGTATCATTTTGACATTATTTATATATGAAGAAAAAATAGAAAAATAGATGTGGAAGAAAAATATAGTTGTAATTCTTTTTTTCTTATGGTTTAATATGATTTACACAAGGCCTTTAAATGAACGAGAGCGCTAGGTTTCACTCCTTGATTCCTGGAGTAAAATCAGTAATTGAGAAGGAAATGGAGTATCTTGAAAATCTGAAGTAATCAAGTATTCTGTAAATCCAAAGAAATCAAATCATATCTATGATTCTATTAAATCAAATCTCTCAATTTTGCAACTCTCCCTCAAGTGGGTGCATAGATATCGATAATGCCGAACTTGCTTATTATGTGTGTGTTTGTATATAAGATAATCCAATCCATATTCAATTCATACTCAAAATTTAACTCAACTTTAACTCAATCCCACTATCCTCAATATTATCAATATAATACTATTAACCAATCATTCTTACACATCATATAAAACTTTAATCTATTATTCATCCACTTACATAATTTTAACTAACAATCTCATCACGTCATCTCTCTTACTTTTGTATGAAATCAACTTTAATTATTTTATTTTAAATATTATTTTAATATAAACTCAAAGTCCCATTAACAACTAACCATACCACGTTTTTCAAAATTAACCTTGATTAACAAAAAAAAAACTCATTTTGAGCGGATATATTTGTATCCAAGCACGCCCTAAGTGTAAAGTTAGGTCTTGATAGGCCCATAGTGAAGATGTGGCCGTTTGCTGACCAAAGGAACAAAAGGGCAAACAAAGCTTCAACTTTCTCCTTTATAAAATGACGATATGTGATTTGTTGGATCATGTTTGACACAATTTTAAGTAGCCTTGTCATCTTAGTACAATTTCATTGGGAGTTCCGCAACGCTTTATATTCCTTTGAGGATTTTTGAAATACACAATATGAGGACGTGGATGTCATCTCATATTTATTGACAAATAAAGTCGGTGAAATTTGTTCTAAGGTGTTTTCCAACAATATGGTGCGACGTTATTATGCAAGTTGGTCATTAAGTCGGTGGAAGGTTCCCAAAACTGCTGTAATTTATCTGCTTATGAGACAATTAGAATTTGTCTCCATTCTTCTAGACTTTTCCAATTTTATATGCCCATATTTATTTTAATGTCAGTTGTTGATCTTCACTGTTATGACTGAACAGAACAGATTTTATCTGAATCTAGGATAATTCTCTAAACTGTTATAAAAAAAACCATTTTCTGCTAATGTATGGTATTACTTATCATTCTGGTAAACTCTAGTTTAACGCAGCTGATTTGGTTTAACTGAAGAATTGTTATGGAAATGTCACTCAGAGATAGTCGTAGAGTTAGTATTAATGTATTTGCCTCGGGCCTATTAATCTGATATGGTACTTGAACAATTTGGGTCGCCTACTTTCTCATAATCACAGCAACCTAGAAATATGATTGATATTTCTCCCCTCATTACAGGTAAGGTCAGTCACCTTAGACGTGAGAGTTTGGGAACCTACTGTCTTAAATTTATTTCAAGCTCTGGGAAATTCCTACTGTAATTCTGTCTGGGAGGAGCTGCTACCACTGCATACAGATTTGTAAGTTCCTTGAGTCTCTAGTGCAACCCGACTGCAATGTTTAAAAAGTGACCTTAATACAACAAGTGATATCATTGTGGACTATATATTTCCATTTTGATGACTTTGTGGTCCGAAATCTACAGTTGATGTGTCGAGCAATTTTTCATGTGATTGGTTCCATTACGTTGGTTAACTTTCTCTGTGTTTTGCCTACACTCCAAGTTTTATGAAGTAACTATATTACTTGTTGGGCAAAATCATTCAATACAGAATAATAGAGTCTGAAGCTCCCTCCTTTGCGAAACCTCGGCCCAACGATGCAATTACCCGAAAGGAGAAGTATATTCAAGCAAAGGTATTGTTAAGTAGGATACCTCCCTTTTTATCATATAAAATTATATCTGGCTGTGTTTCTGTCCATTTTATTCGATGTGGTAAGCATAGACAGATCTGCATTAGGGGCCTGGGTGGCACAGCCCATTTTAAATTAAAAGATAAAAATGTAGTGCCTAAAAATAATTTCAGCTTTTGTTTATTAACAATTTTTAAAATAAAATTAACAAGATTAGAAATGAATTGTTTATATATATCTTATAGTAATCCTACTAACTGTTTTGTTCTTCACTCGACAAAGAAAGTTGATTGAACCCTTTTTATTAGGCAAGAAAATTGATTTGGTTTGACGCATTTTATTATTGTCAAGTATCGACAATTGTTTAGATACATGTTGAGATAATATTTCTGTTTCAAATTAGCATATTCATTCCATATTATGTGTGAGAACTTGTTTCGTAAAATTACTTTATATTATAATTGTAATGAACTAATTTTTTTCTTTGCCGTATATATTTAGAGCAATGGGGTTGGTGTACATTGTAGTGTCCATACCTCAATTGGAGTGAGGGTAGCTTAATAAAATATATGAATGAATGTTCATCCCGTGCAAGTGTATGTACTATGTACACTTGTGTACCCAAAATTAAGAATTTGAAAAATTCTATGTATTAATTATTTAAAATGTTGATTGTGACTTGCCTATCAAGAAAACTACTATGGATTCGCCTCCCGTAATAAGATCGAAGCTAGATTTTAGCTTTTGTTCTCTATACGGGAAAATCTTCTTTTTTCTCTAGATAATCCTCCTTTCCTTTTCATGCACTACTGCGAAGTTGTAATACAGACTCACTAGTTTCAGAAATCCAGTATGTCAGGAAACTGCTCGTAAATAGAGAAGGCAGAGGTCCTGGGGATCTGTTGTCCTCCACCATCTGGGAAGCTGTTAGAGCGAACAATCTGCGGGAAGTATATAGGATCTGTGTAGCATCATTAGATGAGAATATAGTCAACTCTTCTTGTGATGAGAAAAGTCGGACTTGCTACAATAACGAAGAAGAGAACTTGAACCAGTCGTGTGATGGTGATGCGGGAAATGGACTTGAGGAATGTTCTTTATTGCATTTGGCCTGCCACTGTGGAAGTTTGATGATGATGGAGCTTTTGTTGCAGTTGGGTGCTGATATAAACAAGTGTGACCTCAAAGGCAGAACTCCTCTCCAACATTGCATCTTGAGCAGAAACAATGAGAAGGCCAAGTTTCTGCTCAGAAGGTAAAATCCTCTTTCTTTTGGAAAAGATTGGTAAAAGAAAGAAAACAGGAATATTGCTGCCCAGTAGGTGCTTGGATATAATTTTTCAACTTTTCATCTTATTGGAGATTTTTTGTACCAAGTACACTATTCACTCATCTCAATTTTTTCTCACCTCAATTCTATAAATACAACTTCTAAAATAAAACTTAGTCATTACAAAATATTTTATTGTTTGTGCACTCACATATTTCTATCGACCATTCATTATTTGATATTTTTTTTGCTCTGTCAACTTTAATCATTACATTTTTATTTTACATCCAATCAAGCTTTTTAGTATTTTTTTTTTTATTTTTCTCCAGAAAATTCAAACATTTTTCTCTAGTGATAGATTTTTTTAGCATATACATATCCTTCTTCACAGTGTGTTTCATCTAATCTTCTTAGCAACAATGATGCTGTGAGACTTTCACCTCAACGATATATCTTCTCTTCTCCCGAAAATTGTACTTTTGTAGATTCTTTACCATCAGTTTTAAAAGTGAGGCTCATTTGTCAACTTGAATCTACTTTTAGCAAGAGTAATATGCTATTGAAGTATTAATTTGATTCCACTACATTTGACGCACTTTTGTGTGAGCTGATTAGTATATACAAAATATATAGTTTTGACTTATAACTTATTTGCTTGTGAATATTTTCTATATAGAGGTGCACGTGCATCTATAAAAGATGCTGGCGGCTTTAGCGCTCTGGAAAGGGCTATGGAGATGGGAGCAATCACTGATGACGAGCTCTTCATTTTGCTTGCGGAGAGTGAGTGAATGGACATTTGAAATATATTAATTTATGTAGTGATCACAATTTTAAACTATCTGTGTATTTCTTTTTTTAATTGTTTCTTCTCTATTGTCTTTAGCTTTTTTTTAAACAAAAGAAAAAAAAAAAAAGCTTGGGCTCGTCCAATGCTCTTCATCAACTTCATACTCTCTTACATTTCTTCACGAGCCTTATAATGAAGTCGGAGAACAATGCAGTATTAGTTATGCTTAGTGAATTTGTGGATGAATCTGTACTACAGACTATCTGAAATACTGGATATTTGAAAAAGAAAAATATTGGATCTGAAATATTGGATCTTTGAATCTTGCAACGAATAACCTTTAACAATTTTGGGTATGCTGTAGTTTTATTGGAAGAGGGATAGTCATATGAGAGTGAATGATTTGTGGGTAAACCACACGAATGGAGAGTTTGTTACGTGGAGATTGGTGATAAGGGCATCATTTATCACCGAATTCAAGCATACTATGTTTCCCAATCTTTTGGTACCGAAAGATTCTCATCTTTTGGGAAAAAGGGACTATCAGAAACAGACTGTGCTCCATGAAGGCCGTGACGTTGGAGATAACTGCATATACCTTTTAAACATTTAGGTCTTTGTCTCTATTAACATGCCGTAACTTTATTATATATTTAGGATTCAATGAATGGTAAGTAGTGAAAGAAATAAGAATGAATATGTACCATTGGATTTATTGATATCAGTGGTTATGATCAAATTAAACTTTAATAAGTGATAGTCAAATGTGTTGTGTCATTTTTGTAAATAAATGAACATATTGTTGTCAAATATAGACATTTGATCACTATTTATGGGTAAAGTGGACATTTGTTACAATCTATGGGTAAAGTGGACATTTGTTACAATCTCACCAGCTTGTAGGACCCATCACCACACACATAAACACTAACCACCACCACCATCTCGTGCCACCTACCCCCTTCCTCACTCTCTTTCACCCACACACACGTGCGTGGGCACACACACAGATCACACACACACACACACACACACACTCACTCTCTCTCTCTCTCTCTCTCTCTCTCTCTCTCTTTAAGCACACGGTCAAACCACCAGTGCACCACCGCCACCTCGTACCTCAACATCTCTGACTCCCGTCAGACACATACAACTCGTTTTTCGTTCCTCTGTTTCTATTGCACCATCTCGTCGGAAAAATCATGCCGGAGATCCCCACTGTCGAATGTTGTGATGTCGGCACCCGTTTCGCAGAAACTCGAGCCCACGGCAACCCGTTAGACGCCATCAAAGACCAAGACATGGAACGCAGGAGAAAGTCATATGGCTAGTCATTCCCCGGACATGAAACGCCGTCGGAGTCGACCATGCACAGTGACCAAACCGGACGCATTCGACGCCGTGAGAGCGACGACTAAGCGGAGGTCGGTCGGCGGCGGCATCTCCATGGGCATGGACTGGCAGACAATCACTATTAGGGATTGAGGTTTATATTTTGAGAATTTTATATTGTTTAGGACGTAATTGTAATTATACAAATTTTTATATATTACATTTTAAAATGTGAGGCTAATATGTAATTTAATAAAAGTTAAATTCATGCACAATATTAATACATAAATTGCACATTATTGCATTGATCATGCACGTAAAAAATTCCGTTATAATTTCCGAAATAATAGAATTGTTTATTGGTTGGTTCAATCAGTTCATAAATTTATCCAAATTTACCAAAATGTCATTGCGCATCTTGGTGATGGTTATAAATTTTCGAATAAGAATTTTTAGTTCTATTGGTTTTGGTCCCTATTGTACATTCTGACAATCAAATGCAATTCGTCTACCACTGTTGTGCACTTACATCGCATACATTTTTAATGATTTGTTCCAAAACAAAGTAAAGCTTAACTGAAATAATTGGATTATTCGATCGGCTAATAGAATTAGCATAAATATAGAAATAATTTATTATTTATTTTATAAAAATATATTTCGTATTTAAATATTTATAGTTGATATTAGTCGTGGTTGGAAAGACATAATATATAAATTACAGAAATTGATAATATGCATTTCCCACGATTATTAATGTGCAGTTCGTCTTACATTATTGTGTAGTCTATAATATAACTACTCACCTACATATGGTCAATATAGCGGGACCCACACCCCCACACTCTCTCACATGCCCACCTCACCCATCTGTCTCTCTCACACATACAGACACACACATTCACACACAACACACACCTTCCCCCCGCCGATTAATAGTCGCCGGCACCAAACCTTGCACCGCCGTCGTTCCACGGCCGGAATCCACCCGCCTCCGCCACCTGAATCCGACTGCAACCTGCCCCTCCGCCCACCACCGTCAACACTGCGACCGGCCCGCCATGGGAGCTGTTTCGTAAGACGGTGACCTCCCCTGAGCCTCCGCCCTCCGCCGTCAACACAGCGACCAGTCCGCCATGGAAGCTGTTTTGTACAACGGCGACCTCCCTCGACTGTATTGTTGTGGAGCAGCCCGACATCCGTGGCAGCGCCGTTAGGGGTGAGCATCGGTCGGTTCGGTCCAAAAACCGAACCGAACCGAAAAAACCGAAAACCGAAATTGTAGTAGCATTGCAAATCGAACCGAACCAAATAAGCATTAAAAACCGAACTACAACCGAACCGAAATTATCGGTTCGGTTCGGTTTTGCAAACCGGTTTGGCCACTACATTAAGCTATTAATAACAATCTCATTTTGCAAATATTTAACAAGTAACAGAATGTCCTGATCAAATCAACAACATTCCAAACGTGAGCTCATTTTAGTGTTCTACAAGAAAAATAAAAAATAAAAACTGTAACCAATAACCATCAAAATAGTACACATATATTGATTATGTTCCAAAACATATCATCAGTCATCACCAGACACAACCAATCCCATAACATAGGTCCACATTCCACAGAAACCAGAAGTTTAATAACCGATAAGCAATGAAAAAACAGCAAAAAGATGCAACCGATAGCATTCCATAAAACATCAAAACGACAATGAAAACAATAAAAGAGCAGCAAAAACATCCAAGCACGATCAAACAACAGCAGCATAGGAGGCAGCATCACAACACTCAGTAGCAACAGCAAACATAGTCTCTTGTGTTTAATAATGATGGCCCGATACCCACATTTGGTAACTCTACAACATATAAATCAAATGCAAGAAGTTTATTACGATATCGAAAGTCAAGATTCAAAAATAAATAAATAAATAAATAAATAAACTGAATTACCTTTTTCAAAGGTTTCAACCTCATCTTGTAGTTCTTCAAAACTTAAAGGCTTATTTGAACCTCGAAGCCAATCTTGTGCACATATCAATGCTTCAACAATCTTTGGAGTCAATGAACTTTTAAACACATTAAGAACCCTTCCACCGGTACTAAATGCAGATTCTGAAGCCACGGTTGAGATTGGGACTCCTAAAATATCACGTGCCAATCGCGAAGGAACAAGAAATCTTCCTGAATTAATTTTCCACCACTTCAACACATCAAGATCCTCAGAATCCTCTAAGACTTCCTCATCCAAGTAAACTTGTAGTTTAGTTTTTTTTATTCTGCCACCTTCAATCTCCAGTTTCTGTTGCTTATATCTAGCTTTCAAGACATTCACTGGCTTCTTCGTGACGTTTTTAGAACTAGAATCATCAATCACAGGAGAAACAGAACTAGAGCTCCCTCGATTATCATCTTCAACATTTGGCTGGTATTTTCTTTCATATTCTTTGAACAACTCAAAGAGTCCATTTCTTATACTTTCAAACAATGCAACACCCTGTTCAGCCCCGTACATCTCGCTAAGAGAGTACTCCATGAACTCATATTTATCACGAGGATCAAATACAGTTGCCCAAAATATTATTTTGTTCATGCTCTCTGAATCCCCCCAATATTTATCAAACTTTGATTTCATTGATGTGCCCAAGTCTTTGATTTCATAATCATCACTTCCTTTCCATTCATTCAAAATGCAACACAAATTGCTAATCTCGTTGAAAAAAGTATGAGAAGTAACATATAATGAACCCGAAATGCGCAATGTCATCTCATAAAAATGCTTCAGTAAGTCTGAAATTTTCTTCACGCAAGACCAATCAAAAGACGTTGGGACTCCATTTTTAGCTAAATCAGATGCAAAATATGGTTCTTGCTCTTCAAATCTCTCAAATGCCTTTTCAAACTGTGCAGTTGTTTTTAACATAAGATATCTAGAATTCCACCTTGTAGTCACATCTAGACATAAAAAGCTCTTACTCTCGATACCTTCCCAATCAACACAATCTTTGAACTTTTTAAGTCTAGCAGGTGAATTTCTAATATATCTTACTGCTTCTCTCACTCGCTTCATGGAAGGTTTGATATCTTTTAGGCCTTCGGTAACAACCAAATTAATTATATGTGCAATACACCTCACATGAAGGAACTTACAATTAGCCACACTACCACCCCAGTTCAACATTCTCCTTTTTAAGAAGGCAATAGCTACATCATTTAAACTTGCATTATCTACAGTGACCGTGAAAATATTCTTTAATCCCCAGTCAAGAACACAAGCTTCTATCGCCTTCCCAATGTATTCACCTCTGTGGCTAGTAACAAGCACAAAACTAAGGATTTTTTTATGTAAGTTCCAGTCATTATCGATGAAATGAGCTGTGATGCACATATAGTTAATTTTCTGATGATACGTGAGAAATCTTGTATTACTTTATGATTCATTTATATATTTGAGCATTAGATTTTAGTGTATTATTCAAGTTTTCTCACGTATTTTATTTTATGAACGGACGTACACCAATATTTGGATTTTGTTTTATTTTGCAGTTATTATGTCTATTTATGATATGGCATTGATGAGGTGGCAAATGGGACATGCAAGAATGTGGATTATACTTAAAGCACACGTTGGGCTCTCAATTTAATTCATGGGATTTTTTATTGCCTTGGACTCTAATATTTGGAGAGATATGCGTGACTTATGTTGAGAAAAAAAAAGGAGAGTTTCATTGGGGAGAAAACTCCTAATTAGTGGCTGCGTGGGATAGAAATGAGAGGAGGAAAAAAATATTTTCATTCATCCTATTATGCTGGGACTTGGAGTACGGGAAACAGAGAGCTTACGGGTGACCATTAAGGACTAAGGATTTATTTGCTGCTACTGGAAAAAAGGAGAATTAGCCGTGAACTACTTTGAAAAAGGAGTTTGGTTTATTTATTTGCTTTTCTTTATTTTGATTGAGAACATGGATTATTATTTTTATTTTTATTATATAGCTATGTGTAGCTAAATACTTATTTCGGTTCTAGGGACGTTGAACCCTCGATGATTATGTTTGATTAATGCTATTTATTTCGTTTTACTCGTCGTATAAAGTTGATTGTGTTATTCTATTTTCATGTCATAATGTGTGATTTTTAATTTAGCTTGATCACCTAAGTTAGGAATTGCATGTTAATTGCTAGAGTTGAGGCTTCGATCCGTAATTGTCATAGTTCTTAATTCAATTGTAGCAACTAACAGTAGTGCATTGTTAGGGATAACTCAACATAAGTTACATGAACCGAGCTTATGTGTTTGTGGCTTAGATCGGTCTATTTTCCTAGATTTTAATGTGACTAGTGGGTTAAATTAGGAGAGCTTATTCCGAGTTATTCGCTAGTTAGAATTAATTGAAGAGCCTATTTCAATTAAGTATAAATTAAGGGAAAATTCGGGTAGCAGAGCTTATTGCTATCTAGGACCGGTAGTTTTAGAAGACGAGTGAAATTTGATAAAAGCATTAATTGGGCTAGTTATTCGAGGGTGTAGACCGACCTGGAACCGATTCTATTCTCATCTTTGCTAAATTATTTGTTTATTTTCGGTTTCATCATCGTTTGCATTCTAGTAATTTATTTTTAGTTCTAGTTTATATTTTCGCTTTGCGAGTAGTTTTAGTTTCAAATCAAACCTCCATTTTTATTATAATTTAATTAATATAATAAATTCACTGTTTATACCACACTCCCTGTGGGATCGACCCTTGCTCGCCACTACTACTACTTAGTAGGGGTAAGTTAGGAAAAATTATAAATTCAAATTTGCCGTGTAACGACACGCGGTCATCTGAACAGAAGTCCAAGTATCAGTTGTCAGACTAACTCTTTGGCAGTTATTTTTCATAAAATGCTTCAACTTTATCCTCTCATCATCATACAATTGAAAACAATCCCTCGACATAGTCCATCTTGATGAAATTTTAAACCTAGGGCAAGCTTTAGACATGACTCGGCGGAATGCTTCCCCTTCTACAAACTTGAATGGTAATTCATCAACAATGACCATGTATGCAACAGCTTTTCGAATTTCATCTTGATCAAATTTCCATGCAGTAAGTGCACTCCTACCATCATTATCAAGATTACATGGTTGCAAATTTAACACGGTTTGTCCAGGTTCAGACTCTAGGTTCCCTTTACATGCAGCTATGTGTTGTTTTAAAGATGAAGTCCCAATTCTTTGGAATGACAAGAATAAACTTTTTCACAGGAATTGCACTTAGCTGAAATTAAATTACCATTCTCATCCTCATTCTGAGTGAAGTATGACCAAACAATGGATCTTGGTCTCATGCGTTTTCTTTTTGTTCCTTTTCCAGTAGGACCAGTACCACTTTTGTTTGAGGCTACATTAGCACCCTCAGCCTGAGGCTGTATATTGGCATTTGAGGCTTCAGAATTGTTCTCCATATGCTCGTCTAATGATTCCATTCTTCTGTATGTATACAAGAAAAACAAATTTTATCACTCAACATTCAACAATCAACAACATAAGAACAGTAAACAAAAATAAACAACTTTACACATACCTAAAATTAAAGTTATAACTCCATTTCAGGCTATCATGCTATGCTACTCAAATTAATTTACAATTCTATATCAAATTAATTATTTGTCAGTACATAGCTTTTTTTTTTTCATTTTTTCAAAATCAAATTATCAACCCATAGCTCGAGTCTTAAATTTTCAGCCCAAAAAAATGAGAGAGTGAATGTCGAGAGCCGAGGCCCGAGAGAGAGGCATAGACTTTACCTGAACCCGATGAGTGATGGCGGCTGAGATCGAGAAAGTGAGAATGAGAGAGTGAATGTCGAGAGCGATGGCGGCTGAGATCGAGAAAGTGAACGAGAGAGTGAGAGTAAATGTCGAGATTGAGAGTGAGATTTGATAAGTGAGATCTGATTTTGTGATTAGGTATTTAGGTCTTAGCTTTGTTAAGATAAATTAATATTATCTAATTAAAACCAATCGTGGACCAATATTCCAATTGGGCTTTTAAATTATGTGTGCATATTTATTGTCTATTGGGCCTATTAATATTAAATCCACATATATTGAAACTTACAATTACTTAAATAATTCGGTTCGGTTCAGTTAATCCGAATTTTTATTTTAAAGCACCGAACCGAACCGAATAAACCGATTTCTTTTAAAATAAAAACCGAACCGAATTTTGTAACAGAAAAACCGAACCGAATAACTATTCGGTTCGGTTCGGTCGGTTAATTCAGTTTAAACCGATTATTGCTCATCCCTAAGCGTCACCGTCTCTCTCGACTACGACTAGCCCTGTCATGGCGGGTTGCTGCGGGAACTGAAGTGGCCTGCAACTAATAGACACGAAGCTTCCTCGGAGAAGACAAGATGCGTCGGGATCCTTGAGAGCCGCTGCCGCATCACCGGCGACGGGGAGTGGTATCGCCGGCGGTGGCGAGAAGAGTGCAGGCTTGCAGGAGAGAATGGGATTTCAATTTCAATTTAGGGGTTTATTTTGAAAATTTCACAAGTTTGAGGGACTTATTTGCAATTTTAACAATTCTAATATATTAACATTTAAGCCATGGGCCCAATTTGTAATTGATAAAACTATAATTAATATTATAATATTTTGATTTAATATTTTGTGTCTGAAAATAATAAAAAATAATAATGATACAAATGATACAAACAATAATAATAATAATAATAATAATAATAATAATAATAATAATAATAATAATTTTTATATAGTTCGATCGTTAGGGTATTTTGGTTATTTAAATAAAATCAAGTTTCGAACTGAAATTTTTAGTTTTGACAATCGGTTTAATTCCTCGATTATCATAAATAACCAAAATAACTGACATAAACTATTCTATTTATTATAGAAAAACATGATTAGTGTTAATATTTATTTATTTGGTATTTTATATTATTCCTTTATTAAAAAAATGGTATGTATGTAACTGATATATAATGTACAATCTAACAGACATTAAGGTGCAATTCGTCGAGCACTATGGTGCACGTTGTCGGTCTGTATTGTGCATATTGAACCAACTGAAATTTTATCCGAGCTTAAATAGAAAATGAAAATAATTTATTGATTTAGTCGGTCCGGTTAACCGAATCATCTTTAAATAATCAAAATAATTTGTTATTTATATTAAAATTATATTTAAGATGTTGATAATTTTATTTATTATTTTTATAATATATATGATTGAAATAATTCGAGTTTGGTTGGTTTCGATCTTTATTTTATAATATAATAAAGTGCAGAGTGTTATTCTATAAAGTGCAACGAGTTATTTATAAAGTGCAACATTTTGAACTATACAGTAAACGAATTGTTGAAGTTTTGATAAAGTGCAACGTGGTGTTTTATAAAGTGCATCGTGTTGTTTTATAAAGTGCAGAGTGTTATTCTATAAAGTGCAACATGCTATTTTATAAAGTGTAACGTGTTGAACTATACAATAAACGAATTGTTGTAGTTTCGATAAAGTGCAACGTGGTGTTTTATAAAGTGCTTCGTGTTGATTTATAGAGTGCATTGTGTTGATATATAAAGTGCACTAATTTATATGATCATATATATAATTATTGTGTTGATATATAAAATGCACAATAATATTAAATAACATTAGACGAATTAAACATTAATGGTTATCATATTACACAATAGAGAAAAATTTTCGATTTGAACTTTTATATTTCGATTCGATTATATGCTTTAATTTTAAATCGCATATCTACACAAAAATATTGTGCAATTCACTTATAAAAAAAATATGAGTATTTAATAAAAAATTTTAGTTTCATATAAAGATGACATTTTTTTTAAATGCACATTAATTAAACTTTTGTTATATTACAAATTTGCCTCAAGTATTAAATTGAAATAAATGAAACTTTAAAAAATTACAATCAACCCCCTACAACATATCAAATTCCCAAAATGTAACCCCACAATTAAAAACACAAATTTCAATTGTCAACCCCGTTCACATCACTTGGAACTCACTCCCGACGTTCGTCGCCGTTGATATGGTCGCCCATCCACCGTGTTTATCGCCCAAAATCTATCGTCGCCCACAGCAAGCGCCTCTGCACAGAAACCANAGCAAACCAAAAAAAAAAAAAAAAAAAAATGCAGATCGGCCATTTTTTCTTCACGGATTGCCGTCGTTTTTGTGCAGGGACGGGACGATGGCCGTGGCAACGCGACGAGACGGTGAGGCAGCGATAAACGGACGTCGGGAGAGGACGAACACACAGGCGCCGGGAGATGTCGACCACACAGTGTCGGAATCCGGGAGATATCCAGATTGACGGTGGCGGGCTGGTTTCAGCGGCGATGTGACCGGCGAGGCTTGCGGCAGCGACGCGACTGAGGTCCGACGGTGGCGTGGCTGATGTTCGGCGGAGGCTCCGTCAAGCTTGTGTGTGTTTGTGCGTGTTTCATATGTGTGCGTCGTGTGGTGTTCTTGTGTGTGTAGGTGTGTGAGAGAGGGTGGGTTGATTAGTGGTGTTAGTGGTGGAGCCCACTTGTATTTTGTAATGTCTGACTTACCCCCACTTAGTGGTCTAATTTTATTATTGACCATGATGTGTACAGTTATTTGTAAAAATGCCACTCATGTTTGACTGTAATTTATTAAGTTTTGACTTGATCATGTCCATTGGTTTGATTGATCCAATGATCCAGGGTCATTCTCATTTCTCGCATTAAGAGTCATTCTCATATGATCCTTTCTCTCTCTCTCTCTCTCTCTCTCTCTCTCTCTATATATATATATATATATATATAGAATATAAACAATAATGTTTCTATACAAAATATAAACAATAATATTTTATTATCGTTCGGTAAATTATGTTAATTCGTTTTTTCATTTGTACGTAAAGTCAACATCGAACCAAAATAACTGAAATTTAATATATGTGAAAATATGATCTAGCATAACCGCACTGGTTCAATTTTTTGTCACGAATGTGCATGCTTGAACGCATTAATGTGCATTTGGTCAAACACTATTGTGCATTCTGACAGACAGTAATATGCATATTGTTTAGTATTATTGTGCATTAAACTGTTTTTTTTTTTTATTTGCAAAATTTGAAGTAATTTGTTATTTATATTATAAAAATATATTTAGTATTTTAATATTTTTATATTTATTTTTGTTGAAAATACATAATATATAAATGTATATAAAAATATATATATATATAAAATAGTTTTGTATATATTTTTCTTAAAGTATATATTTGGCCCATGCACTAAATAGAAATATAATAAATATTCTTGAATTTGCAATTGGGTCCTTTGAGATTATCAAATTTTCATAAAAAAAACCCAACCCCCAAGTTGTTTTCTCCCGACGGCTGAAAATGGTCGCGGCTGCTTTGCCATGCCACCCGCAGAGGTGCAGGCTCGGATGATTGTCGCGGTGGGCAGTGACACTGGCGGCGGCGGCCGGTGGCTGAGTTCCACAGCGACGAGCAGCGTGATGCTGTCGTTTGGACGAGACTAAAGAACGTGGGTGCGATGAGACCAGCGGCATGATGAGATTATTGGTCGCGACTGTTTGGGTGAGAACAGTGGCTTGAGGAGACAACGTCGAGCGGCACGGCGGGCGGTGGAGATTAGAGGCGAGCGGCGCAAGGACACCCACTGCTGTGAGCGACGCTGAGGATTGACGCTGAGTCATCGGCCAGAGTCTATACATGCATGTATATCGTGTGTGTGCATGTGTATCTGTGTGTGTGTGTGTGAGAGAGAGAGAGAGAGAGAGAGATAGAGAGAGTCGCATGTTTAATGTGTATGTATGTATGTGTGTGTACAGAGTGTGTGTGTGTGTGTGCTATGTGTTTGGTGTGTGTGTGCATGTGGTTTTTGCGTGTGTGAGAGAGAGAGAGAGGGATTGACATAAAAGAGATTATGCCAACCTTTTTCTGATTGATCGCTACTCCCTCAACAATTTCTCTTTATCACCGCCCTTTTGGCGAGATTCTTCCCCACACCCATTTGATAGTCTACTTCAGTTACAACACTACCTGCTATCCGGTGTAGCTTCATACCGGATTGGACTTCTGGATCCTAGCGCTTGATAAGACAGTTCGTGCGAAAGTACCAAAGCTAATCTATATTGATAGGTCGCTAAGGAGAAACCCATCAAAACTCCAACAAGGCGGACCAAAGGCTAAATCGGGAATGTCTTCTTCGACGTCTATGTATGGTTTGAGGTCGCATCTCTCGAACGCGACACTCTCCATGTTAGCATCCCGGCAGCTCAGTCTTCATACCTTCTCCTTTATAGTCGAGTCCGACTTTGCTATCATGCTTACCTGCTATCCTTGGAAACGGACTTAGGAGTTGTGGCACTTTTTGGATCAATTGCTGAAGAGCAAATGATCTTGTATCACCTTGATGTGCGTAGCTATTGCCTTGATCAAAATACTGGGATTAAGAGTCATATTCATTAGTAGCACTATTATTAACTAAGTTTATTATATAGTGATAGTGAGTTGAGTGAGATTTAATCGACGCCCAAGCTCCTCCTCGAGGCCTCTAGGATTATTTACACCTCCCTCCCTTGTATCCATGATCTCTCTATTCGCACAGAAAAATCCTACTCCCAAAATATGGGAACCAAAAAACAAAGAAACCCTAACCCCCAAATCAGATACCCGCCGATAAATCAAGTCATGAAAAAACCGTAACACCCAACACCAAAACGACGTGACACCGGAGAAGAAACCCTAAACCCCAAATTGCAAATGCCCACCAACCCGAAGGAATTTTTGCGACTCAAAAGAAGAGAATACACTCTCACATAGAGAAAGGAAGCTCTCACATGAGAGAATTTTTTAATTAGAAAATATTTGACTTGGTAAATTTGTTAAATTATATTAGGTTAATTAAAAATTAGATTAGGATAATTTATTTTATTTAAAGTTAGGTTAACTAGATTAATTTATTTAATGTTCTTAATTTAGCTAGATTAATTATCTTAATAATTAATAAGATTACCAATTATCATAATATTAAAGTTAAATAATCTTTATAGATTATGATTTAATTCTAGAATTCATAAAATTACTTAAGCTTAAATAAATAATGTAGAGCTGTGCCTTAATAACAGAACGGGGCGCTGCAGTTCGGGTTGTACTATCGGGCAGTTCGAGTAGTTTGGGCAGCCCATTCAGGCAGTTTTGGGCAACAAGGTATCATCTCCCTATATAAGAGCATCTCCAATGCATAAATGTTGTTATAACATAAATTTTGACAAATGTCAATTAATTAGATAGATTGTGAACCACATAAGATAATTGTTATGTTCACAACTTTAATTCTAAAAAATTATCTCCAATGCACAATATAATCAAACACAATATTGTCCACTTGGCCAAAATAAAAAAATTTATAAATATAAAAGAAAAAGAATTAAATAATTAGATATTTTGAAAATGGTAATAATATTTCTCTCTCCTCTCTCCATTGGTTGGCTACAATGTGAATGAGAATGTGGATGAACCACATTCTTTTCTAATAGACATAATTATGCCCACCTCATCACTACATTTATGATAACATTGTGCATTGTAGGATTAAAAGTGGATAAATTGCTAATATGTTAATGTAGAGTGTAATTTTGTACAACTACATTGCATTGGAGATGCTCTAAAGGAGTGTCCATTATCACATTAGATTCTCTATTATTCCAAACACTATATTGCACTTCATCTTCTACAAGTGCTCATTTAAGCATAAGAAACTATTCACCGGAAAACCCCTGCAGTGTGAGAGTTTTTGCATGTTCGCAGACAAACTACCGACGAGGGAGCTTGAGTTCAGGCCGTTTCTAGTCGGTTGGAGGTCTTTTGTGTACTAGGGTGTGATTGGATATGAGTTATATATAATCAGTTATGACTGGTTGAGTTATTTTATATTCAATCATCTAAATCAAAATCCAATTCAACTCAACTCTCCTACTTATGATACAAGTAATTAAATAATACAAATTAATATTCTCACATATTACATCAATTTTAATTAATTTTTCATCAACTTACATAATTTTAACAATCTATCACTTTCAATAATTTCTCTTCTATTTTAATTTCAAACTCAAAATCGTCCCCACTAACTCACTTTAATAGTTATGTATATCGTTNTCAGCCAAACTAATTCCCGTGATTTATTATTATTCGACGTATTCGGATCATTTACTATTATCACAATTGAATTCCACATTAGATATCGGCATGAAACTACAAATTAAAAAAATAGAAACAAAAAAAAAAAGTGATTTCCAATGGAATTTGAGGGTCGAGAAGTAAATAAAGAGAGCGCAAACGGTGGCAAGTGGCAATGACGTGGTCAATAGTCCCAAAAGAAATCTAAGATGTGAAATGCAACAGAAAAAAAAAAGGCAGACAATTATGAACCATGAATACAATAGTCCAAAAAGAAATCTAAGATGTGGAAAAAAAAAAGAAAAAAAGGCAGACAATTATGAATGCGATCATGTTCACACTGTTATCTGCAGAGTCCAATGTCCACAACTACCCAATACCAGCAATCAATTATCAAAACACTTGATTCATTCTATAGATAAATAATTAATAGTTCTAATTTCTGAACATAATAATAATAAAAAAAAAAAACTATTCAAAAGAAAGCTAAAAGAAGGTTTCAACCATGAATATTAATTAAATAAAGAGATCAGATGTTGAGAGTGGTGGTGGGCTCTATTCGCTTCATCTGCAAGCCGCCGTTGTTGTTCTTCTCATCCTCGTACACGTAGGCGAAGCCACCGTGTCGGGTCAGATCCATACCCGCGAGCTCGTCGTCCTCCGAGATCCGGAGGAGTTTCAGCTTCCTAAGGATGTAGAAGAGTGGGCCCATCGTAGCCGATACCCACCCGATAATCACCAAGATCTGGATCACGTGGGCCGCCAGCAGTCGCCCCCCACCTCCCATAAACAGCCCGTACGGCCTGCCCGGCCTCCCCGGGTAAACCTCGTTCACGTACCTCTCCGTCGCAAACAGCGCCGTGAAGATCACCCCCCACGCGCCGCACCCGCCGTGTAGCTGCGCCGCCTCCAGCGGGTCGTCGTACCCGACCCGCTCCGCCAGCCGGTTGCACCCGATTAGAACCAGCGCCGCCACGAACCCGCAGATCACCGCCGCCCACGGCTCCACCACCGAGCACCCGGCCGTGATGGCCGCGAAACCCCCAAGGAGCCCGTTGCAGACGTCGGTCACGTTCCAGTGCCCCGACAGGATTCGCTTCACGAAGAGGGTCGTCAGCGCCGCGGTGCAGCCGGCGAGCGTGGTCGTCACCGCTGTCCGCCCCACGGCCGACCATTGCCCGTAGTACCCGCCGCCGGCGGCGTAGGGGACGAGGATCCGGTTGAATGACCCGGGGTTGAACCCGTACCAGCCGAACCAGAGGAGGAAGGTGCCGAGGACGACGAGGGAGGCGCTATGGCCGCGGAGGGCCACGGCCCTGCCCGAGTGGTCGAACCGACCGATTCTCGGGCCTTCGATCAGGGCCCCCCACAGCCCCGCGATGCCGCCGACCATGTGGACCACGCCCGACCCGGCGAAGTCGATGACTCCGGACCCGAAGAGGAGGTTGTCGGATTTGACGGGGCTGGCCCAGCCGTCGGCGGACCAGAACCAGTGGGAGACGACGGGGTAGACGAAACCGGTGAGGAAGGCGGAGTAGATGAGGTAGGCGACGAACTGGGTGCGCTCGGCGATGGAGCCGCTGGTGATGCCGGCGGCGGCGATGGCGAAGGCCCACTGGTAGAGGAAGTTGGAGTAGTCGAAGGAGGCGGTGGGGACGTCCTTCAGGCCGAAGAAGTGGCGGCCGATGAAGCCGTTGGAGGGGCCGCCGAAGGCGAAGGCGAAGCCGAAGAGGTAGTAGAAGAGGCCGCCAGCGGCCGCGTCGAGGACGTTGGTGAGCATGATGTTCATGGTGTTCTTGGCGCGGACGGATCCGGCGCAGAGCATGGCGAATCCCAGCTGCATCGAAAAGACAAGGTACGCCGAGAAGAGGAGGTAAGTCGAGTCAACGGCGAAGGCCGTGTCCGTGAACCGATCGGAGACGGCGGTGAACTGGCTGCAGATGTAGCCGGCGGCAGCCACGGCGTTGGTGGTGTTGGGGCCGAAGAGAGGCGCGAGCGCATCGGCGGAGCAGGTGATTGGGGCAGCCATGGTTGCCCCTTTTTTATTTAATTATTATTATTATTATTTTTCTTAGAAAGTGGTTCTGTTTTGGAGGACTACACAGTTTTGGATCCCAATTTATAGGGGAAACTAATCCCTAATGAAATAAGGTTAAGGGAAACGAGAGAGAAACGTGAAGGTTTGACTTTTCTTCTTTCACGTCTGTTTCTTATTCCTTTTCTATTTCAAATCGAGTTGTTAGTACCTACGGCGTGATTATATGTGTTAACTGAGGGTGAAACAGTCATTTTGTACCGGAGTGTTCAATGGTGTCATTGACTGACTATTCTTAGTTGACTTGACTCAAGATGAACGTTTCGTATTCTGTGCGATTTTATTTTGAATCATCTTAGCCTGTGCCTGTGGCCACCAACCATCTAATTCTACATTGTACTCCATATATTATTTTATATATACTTTATGTTCTAAATTTGTAATCATTCAACAGTCATTCTCAGAAATCTTGTGCAACATATGCGTCATATATAATATTGATAATCATAATTTAAATAACGAGCATATTACGTTTAATAATTTTTTTTATTAGTAAACAAAAAATCTAAATATAAATTATTTTTCTTATTTATGAATCAATATATTGTAATAATGTATTTTTTGCAATCTTGAACGAATATGACTAATTAATAAAATAAAATTATTAAAATTATTATGATATCAATTGTGTAAGTAATTCTTAGTGTTTTGATTATGCCATAAAAAAATAATTAAATAATTTTAGTAAACAATGCTTAATGAATTGAAAAAAACAAGATATAATAATTTTAAATAAATAATTTGAAAAAAAAAAGTTTTAAAACAATTTTTGTATAGGTATATAATTCATATTTCATTTCATGTGACCTTATGATTAGATGGTAATAGCTATTATGTAATAGAATACATAAAAATATAATTAACGAATTAATGCAAAATATGATAGTTTTCTTCTAAAATTAGCTGGAAAAAATTGATCTTTGCGTTAAATAATTTGTCAACAATTATATATATAGATATGAAGTTTTTTATTTTATATTTAAATATTTTCATGCTACTTACTATAACTCATTTAAAAAAAATTAGAAATGAAATAATAATTTTTACAAGTCGTGCATTACACAAGTTGCTCTCCCACTCAACCTTAGTGACATAATGATTGTGGTAATTGAAACGTATATATTAATCGGGAGAGCGCTTAACTTTGTAAGAACAAGAGTAAAGATGAAATATAGCGGAAGCAATACACCAAAAATTTAAAAACTCTTCAGGGAAGCATCTTACTTTCCCTCAGGGCTCTTTCATTGATAACTCTTACAAACATAGTTTGGTCTTACAAAAATTAGAACTCCCTTCTAGTCTAGCCTCACTATGAATCAATCTATCAACTACTTCTCAGGCACTTCCCGTGGACTTATTTTTCACACACTTACTCCCTAAGTGTAAATAACGAAATGTCTGAATCAGAATAAAGGAAGAAATACAATCAAAATGATTTCAGTTCTTCGATGATCGAGTGTTCTGAGAACTGAACTGAAAATAAAATGTAAGCACAAAAACTTGAAGCTCGAAGGTGGCGTGTGTAAGTGATAATCTCAGCAACCTACTTCGATCTTCAAGGTGAGTATTTATACAATTTCCTTCGTGTGGAGACTTCTAAAGATTCTTGATTTCCTTCCAAGTTTATCCAAAGTCCCATAGTGGCATAAGGACTCTTCTTCTCTCTCCTAAGATCTTCTTTCCTTACATGATGATCTTCTCTTGATCTCTCCTTATCTCATGAGTATCCCTTCCTTAAAACCGAGATCCTACAAAAACAATACCAAAATGAGATCATGTAACTTAATTAATAAATAAACAGAAAATTCGAATATCTATCTAAATAAGTAAACAAACTTCCCTTATATAGATTCCTTGTGCTTTAGGAACATATCTTCAATATATTTATTTTTGAACTTATGCCAAAAATAATACTCTTTCAATCTCCTCATTTGGCATCTAGTTCGAAAATCATATAGTGAAGATAACCTGAAACATAGTTACAACAGCAAGCACAAAAATAACAAATAGCTCATAAAGGAATCAGCAAAGTATCTCAAATCAGAAACTGAGAGTAACCCCAGTGACCCTGCAAATATCAACAAGGTGCATGATCTAAACATTAGTATCCATTAAAAAACAACCAGCCATCAAAGTTCATGAAAAGCAGACATAAGCTAATCAAAAGATAATCAAAAGAGGTTCTTATACAAGTAAGACCTCACTACATCCCTCCAAAAGCACACAAAAACTAACAACTATCAGCAGACAACAACAACCAACAGCAACTTCATCCAGACGGAGACTCTCCCCCAGACTCAGACTCATCCTCTTCATCCTCAGTCTCATCACCCTTAGCCTTCTTGGCCTTCTCCCCCTTTTTCGAACTACGGGATGCCGAAGGGCCTGTCCCCGAGTTCTTGCGTTGCAATCCCTTAACAACCTGAAGGACTTGACGAAGATAAGCCTGCTGCGCAAAAACTTTCTTTGCAACTCCATCCCATTCAGCAAGTTGTTGGATCAAAAATTCATCCCACTTAGTGGGAACCAGAGATGGAGCAAGGTCAAACTTAGTTGCTTTCTCATTCAGAGTACGAGCACTAATCGTAAGTGCTTTGCCCGAGTTCTCAAGCACATCGTTGAAGCGAGGATTCACAGTGAAATTATTAGCAGCAAGGAACGACCAAATCAGACAAGGAAAAGGAAGGGTGCGACGAGACTCGGTATTGATTATGAACGAGTAAATGATACCAAAAACAACCTCACCAAAATTAAACACCTGACCATCCATAACCCAATAAAGAACCTTGCTCTGAAGTTCTGTAAGCAAATTCTTGTTGGAGGTAGGCGTCCAATTACCAGTACCAATTTTGTGGAGAATGTTAGCGGTAAGGCAAAGAGAACTCACAGGCAGATTTGAACCAGGCCAAGTATCAAGTTGGTTTTTAGAAAGGTTTTGAGTGACAACATCAAGATCAACTTAGAAGGAACATCAACAGGCAATCCCAAATGCACATTCAACAACTCAGGAGAGAAATCAATAACTCTATTCCTAAGAAAGAGTTTATGGAAACGAGGGCTACCAGGAGTAAAACAGCAGGAGTTAAATTCGCATAGAACTCCCTCACAGCTTGACCACAAAAAGGACTAAGGCCAGAAACGGTTTTAGACAAACCAACAGCATCCATGAGTGAAACAATACCCAAATCAACATACTTCCCGTCAACAAGAGGATGTTCAGCCTAAAAACCATAAGATGAAAATTTTTCAAAGCGGCCAAAAGCAACCTGAGTATAGAACCTGTTCGAATAGACATTGGACAAGTCATAGTCATCATCCTCTGGCTCCTGCTCAATAGGAACTATCTCTACAGGTTCCTTACCCGCGCGCCTTGCAGATCGGCGGACAGACGGACGGCGAGGAGGGGTCTCTTGGTCGGAGCGGACTTCAATGGTAGTACCGGCGGTGTCCTCTTTGTCGCCTTCCTTAGGAAACGCCGACAACTCCCCCTGAGTTGTGCCAGTAGCGATTTCTTGAAGCAAGGGAGGAGAGAGAACAGGAAGATTTGTGGACATTGGAGAGGGTTGTGAAGATCTGTTCTCGATGTCCGTCTTTTCCGGAGACGCAGACGGAGTAACAGGTGGAGTCGCTTGCGGCTAAGAGGTTTCCGGTGTTGGTGACTCACGCGGCGAACTTAGAGCGACCGTGTACCGACGTCGCTTAGAGCCCTTGTCCTTATGCTTCTTATGGCATTTCTTCGACTTGTCCTTGCTACCAGCCATGGAGAATAAACGATGATGGAGCATGTTTGAGAATTAGGGTTTGGGTCGGTAAGGGAAAACTGAAGAGAGAAGAGAAGAGATTTGAATGAAACAATGAGTGAGAGAGATGGGGTGCCGTGTTGGTTTAAAAGGATTCTGACATAGGAAACCGCAAAAGTTGGTTTCCGTGGTTCAAGGTGGAGAGAGAAAGGAGTTGGGCGGTTTTATGCCAATTAAATCTATCCAAATCAAATTCAAACACTCATTACTTCCCACAAAAATAACTTCCCAATTTATTTCGAAATTCAAATAGGCAAATCAGATTTTATTCCATAATACATACCACACAAAATATCTAAGACCCAAATAGCTCGATTTCAAGAAGGAAATCGTATGATGTATGCCTAACAATGAAAAATAAATAAAAATAGCATGCAAGACATTAAAATCAATAGAATTCATTCCTAATCTCCTTAAGTGAGATTGATGCATAATTAAACCAAAATCAACATTGTACCACAAATACACCAAGAAACAAAACAGAGGCGGTATTATATATATATATATATATATATATATATATATGTGTGTGTGTGTGTGTGTGTGTGTGTGTGTGTGTGTGTGTGTGTAGTGCAAGTCATATCACTCCAGAATTCCAACACCGAAAGAACATGAGCTTTATTATTCACTAGGCGTTTCACTTAGTAACAATCAATGTAATAGTGAAAGTCAACCCCACTACTTTGCCCAATGATTTTAAGCAACATATTCACATCGAGGCTTTTCACTTAGTAACAATCACTGCAATAGTGAAAGTCAACCCCACTACTTTGCCCCAATGCTCGATGTAAGAACTCATTTTTTTTTAAATTAAAACATTAGCACTACGTTTTTTATGAAAATGACCACCTTATAACTCCAAGTAAAAACACCACATAATAAAGTGCAGTGGTTGTCAATAGCTACCACCCTTCACAACGTTTTCTGCCCATGACGCTCTTTTCAAAGTCGATCCAAAATGAAGCGAACCATGTGCTAGCTATCGCTCTAGATCATTGTGTGAAGGCAGCTCTTTTTGACAGAAATAAATTTGTTCCAGTGCATACATGAACACGTAAACAATTAAAGACAATCAACACCTCACTCGCTTTCAGAAGGGTCAGAACTTCATTTATGAGTTAGTGGTGAGAGTATATGCAATAATGCAAGACATGCCTAAAGCAAATAATACCCTATGTGCTTACAAGCAATGCAATATATAATAGATTAAGTAATATACAATACAATATA